AAACTCCGTGTTATGCATAAGCCTTCGTAATATATTTACATTTTCATCGAAGCGTTCTACAGTTCTAAATACTTCGTAGATATTATAGTTCGGAGAATCTTCCAGATAATATAACACCTATACCTCTAGCAAGAATTTTTAATTAAACTAAGTTTTTATTTTGTGGGTTTTGGTGCTTTCGTAGCTGATGCAGGAACATATGGAAGGTGTAAAAGGATCATATTATTTTCTATGTTCGTAACTCGATTTAATAGCAAACCTCCCATATATTTATCCGTAAAATGTCATTTCGTTCCATAAATTTTGTGACACTTCTTGTACTTAATCATGAATGTTTATGTTCCAGTCTCCTTTTCTGTCCGATGTTGGCTTGGTATTCACTTTTAATTCAATACGTCGAAATACTTTATTCACAATCACGCCTATGTGAAGACAGACACGACAAAAGGTAATAGCAAATGTATTGATAAGATTCCTTTATTGAACTCTTGGCTAAAACCTTATCTCGAGTTATCTTTCAACTCCAGGGAAAATACAAGATATTTATACACTAATAAAATAAGATATAAATGATAAACTAGATAAATATAATAATAAAAATTAGAAATTATAATTACGCTATTGCTTAGACTATTGCGAAAAAATAGTCTTGATCAGTACTTTTTGCATAATGATGATACCGACGCATTATTATTTAAAAAAGCGAAATTTAAAGAAAATTATTTTACCGTTGTCAGATCTTTCGATTATAATATACCCTACTGTGTACGGATCTTTTCAATCATCTTGATATATGGGACCTTTGCAATAGAAAGGGGGAAACTGCCAGAAAAACTCAAATTTACTTTTATATGCCAAATATGAGGAGGTCAAAATTTGTTCAGATGCATTAACTCATTTTTTATTTTTTCCAGCCGTTTTCCCCTTTCCATTGTAAAGTCCCATATGTTACTTTATGCATATACTGCTTATCAGAAGTTTCTTGAAAATTACCCAGATGTTTTGCTTCGTTTATCGCATAATAAATATAGGAGAACTTGCAATATTGTTAAATGTGACATCGTGAGGTTGCAATGATAAAAATTCACGGGTAAGTCATCACCTTGCATCAGTAACCACGTGTCTCAGTTTGTTTAATAGCTTGTCAACTTTAGAACTTGTATAAATTCATAAATTCATAAATGAAATTCATTATCATTCCTTGAAGAATGGTAGCGGCAACTGCCATCCGCATGAAGTTTATGGAACGAGACTTCGTGATTTATTGCTTGAGGTTCTTGTTAGAGCAGATCACATATACCAACTCTGAGTTAATGTCGAAAAATTAAAAATTATTTTTTTGAAAAGATTCCTTCGCGAAACTTACCCAATAGAAAGAGTACCAATATTCCGATTTCCTTAAAAAAAAAGAGAAAGAGAGCGAGAGAAAGAAAGAAAAAAATAAAGAAAAGTTTCTTATATTACGGTAAAGGCATCAGGTGATAAAAATTTTTTAATTTCGATATTCGTTTTAAAAAATCTTTCGAATATTTGAAACTTAATAAATAATAAATTACAAGATTTTTATAACATTATATTATAAACGAGATTTGATATTTAAAGATACGTATGAATATTCTGTTTATACTGTTAAATAACGAAAATATAGCATTACCACAAATACATAAACATATTCATCAAAGAGAAAAGCACCAGCAAAAGCATTTACTGTCTGTGCATTATAATTCGCTGAAATTGTGTCGCTGATTGGCTCTACCAAGTAAATGTGGGTCCATGCTTGGAATTCATATGTCCAATACTTTCTAAGTTAGCACGGCGACTCGTCGTTTGATTTTTATATCAAAAACCTAAAAAAAAAAAATATAAAGGATTTTTATTCAACAACTTATCAAATTATCTAAATAGTTTTAAAAAAACAGTATATACGAAATTTGTAAATCATTTAATAATTGTAGAGTATTAAATACCTTTATTTCTATAATTGACATAAATTAAACACGAGAAGTTTAATTTGATATAAAAACTCTGATAATAATTAAGTTGGATACTGAAAGTATTTGTTGACAAAAACTAACGAATGTGCTTTGCTTTATTGTTTAGAACATTTTAATATCTTCTTATAATTTAAAAAAAAAAAAATTCGTAATTCTTCTACTTTTAATAAATCTTTGAATGCTTATGATGCAATTTTTTTATTTTTCGCAAAAATGTTAATCAAAGGTTTTAAAGAAATCTTTTAAGCGGTTTGGGTAAGAAACAAAAAAAACAAAAAATTAACAAACATATATGTTGAAAATCTAATATCTCATATTGTGGACTTCTCTTTTAAAACAGTTGAGAATTTTAGAAAATCGAATGAAAGCGGGGACAGAGTATTCTCGTAAGTATCAAATCTAAAAATTGATTTGAAATATATATATATATATTTGGCCTTTTGCAAAAAAAATTGTTACGTGATATGGTGCGAAATTTAAATATTTATGTGTGCTACAATAAAATGATCTTTGATCTTTTTGGGATTTTCCATTTTGATTAATTTATTTAAATCATCTACGACGACTTGTAATATTTTGATCAAGTCGGTATTTCCTTAATTCTTTTGTATGATCGGGCATTGATGTTCCCCATCCCGGTAATCTTACAACCTAAAATATTAACAGTAATTATTAAAATTTTTATCAAAAATTTACAAGGCGTTCTTTTAAATGAAATTATACCATTGCCGTCATATTATCATTAGATCCAAGCTCATCAGCAAGATCAACTAATTTTGATGCTCCTATGGTAGGATTATCGCAATCTTTCAACTAAAAGAAAATCAAAAAAAAAAAAAAAATTAAAAAGAAAGGAAAAAAAAAAAAAAGATTGCAAATTAGCCAAATCACTCACATCGTCAACAATCTCTTGATTACTTAATACAGAAGTGATCCCATCAGAAACCAAAACCATAAAAGCAAATTTTTTTCCAACCATATGATGAATAGAAATTTCTGGTTCAGCAGTAATACCAAACCTTTTCATTTTAGCATCACCTAAAGATCTTGTATTGGCTAATCTACCTAAATACATTTCAGCACCAAAAGAATCCGTTATAATAAAGCCACCAGATTTGCTTAACCTTTCGATTTCTGTTATTGAAGCTGGATGATGATCAAATGTTAATTGTATGGAATTACCATTTTCCGCATCACAAAGAAGTATTCTCGTATCACCAACATGCGCTATTGTAATTTCAATGTCATTGCTTGTCCAAAATGGACGTTTGTCTAACGATTTTATTAATGCAGCTGATGCTGTCGATCCTATAGAATTATATTCTACTATATTCAATAATTCAATGTCAGATTTTAAATATGCTAGCGTTAATCTTTGTTCCAATGTAAGTGAGGTGGAAGGTGATGAAAGTGGTTGGGTTGGAACGGTAGGAGTGGTTTGAAGCGGTATCGTTTGGGTTGAATTTGGTGATGGTATTGAGGAAGGGAATTTTCTCAAAACCTCTCGACCCGATTTTTGATTATTTGGCCTCTTTTTAGGAGTAACGTCGGCAACTTTAGGGCTTAATAAATTTTCCAATATTGATGGTTTAAATCTTCGAAAATAACTAATGAAAAAAAAAAGGTAACATTGTAAGAATCAAATTTTTGAAAATTCAAATTTGATCTATTTCTTTTCTTTTAGCTTACCCTCCAATGTTTCGCAATTCCGTGACAATGCCATCAGCATCGGAGGCTTCAACAGTTTCAATTTGTTTATGTAATTTGGCGGTTAGATAATCTGCGCATTGAGCACCTCCGTGACTATTTGATGTCAAATTCAAGAAACTCTTTTGATATCAAATAAAACTGAACAAATCAATCGAATTTTTTTTAATTGACTTACCCATCAAATAGAGCGAAATAACAAATTTGACCAACTTTTCCTTCCACTTCTTCATTCTCTAGATTCTTTTCATCTAAAATCTGTTGATTAACGATCCCGTCGTCTCGTACTGTTTTATCTTCAGATAACTCCAAAACCATTGCTTGATATCGATCTTCGTTAAATTCTCTTGTTCCTCTCGTTGTCCTAATTCCCACCAGATGCCTTGATTTAGCTAAATGTAATCGATAATTTACCGCCCCTTTTGATCTTGCTAAATAATATTCTCGTGATTTTAATATTGAAGAATTACTAAAATTTCTCGTTAATGATGATATAGAGTTTGATACTCTCGTATTGAACGTTATTATTGTTGAAATAACTCCTTTATAATTTGCCATTTCTTTGTATTAAGAAAAATTTATAATTCTATATATTTAATATATATATCAGATGAAAATTTATTGAAAATTTCCGATAAAAAAAAATTTGTACTTTTTATTTATAGTGATTTTCATGATTGTCATTTTACAAATATTTATGCAGATAGATAATTTGTACTCAAGATAATATAAAATTGGTAAGTAATTTACCATTAGTAAAAAATCGGTCATTGTGTATGAGGTTATTTCCTGAATCGAAACCTTTTCCAGTTATTAAAAAAAAGTGCCACCGAATAAAGGTAAATATTGATAAATTCCTTTTTTTGTTTTTTACCATTTAATCGCATATATGGAACCACTACCAGCAATTAATTTTCATCGTTTTCCTTTGATAATCTTATCGAAATTGTTGATGCAATAATTCGTTGGGAATTTTCTTTTTTTTTTTTTTTTTTTTTTATTTTTTTTATTTTTTTTTCTTCCTTGTTTACAACTTAACTGAATGAAAAATTTTTCTCTTAGGAAAACATGATAAAGCACCATTTTTATAAATGGATTTTTTTTTTAAAAAAATTATCGAGAACATAGATGTTTAGATTAGGTTGCAGATTATTAACGATAAGATAATTAATTCTTTCCAGATTTGAATTTCAATATACCTTGCCTTTTTGCTTTCAATATAGACTATTTTGCTTGTGAAACGTCCACCTCCCAATAGATGGGTAATTTATGCAAAAAAACAAAGAACTGCTGATCTCCATGGTCTTTGATAATATCTATTTTAAGTTTGGCGTAATAGGATATGCATCTTTATATAACAAATCGAAGCAATTGTATTGTTAGAATTGTTAGAGAAATTTTCCTGCCGAAAATTTTCTCTTTGCGATAATCCGTTCGAAAAATAAAATAAAATAAAATAAAATAATAAAAAAAAAATGTCTCGACTTACGTCTAATGTTCCAATTTCGAAGACACTAGCGTCGTTTTATAGTACACAAATCATTTCCAACGATCTTTTACCAAATTTTACTCTCGCTTCCATTCCGATAGATTTACAAAGATTTACCAACGATGTTGCAAAGACGATCACGATCAAATCCATCAAACTTTCTTCAGTTGATGATAATTCAATTCAATTTATTTGTGGTAGATCAAAGACCAAAAATTCTAAAATAAAGAATTTGTTAGAATGGATTAAAGATGATGAGATCGTAAATTTAATCAAAAATTTCGAATTGAAACTTGGAACTTACGAAATATTCTTCAAAAAATCGAATGACGATGATGTCCCAAAGAAATATACTACAGGAAATGAAGAAGATCTTAAAGAACTTGCAGAACTTGGAGTTTTCAATGCTCAAATAATTTTAGGTCTCTTGTATGCAAAATGTATTGAATCAAAAATTGAGCAAAGCGATATCAAAGCGATCGAATTGTTTCAAAAGGTTTCAGAACAAGGTTCTTTCGAAGGAGATCTTTGTCTTGGATTTATTTATTCTAAAGAACACAGTTCTATATATGATCCACAAAAAGCATTCGACCATTATAAAAAAGCTTCAGAGAAAGGAAATGGTATTGCAATGAGAAATTTAGCAATAATGCATTTGGTTGGAGAAGGTGTACCTCAGAATCTCAGAGAATCGGTTAAATTATTTAAAAAAGCGAATAATCAATTTGGAGATAGTGTGTCGGGAAATATTTTAGGAATATTATATCAAAAGGGAATAGGCGTTCCCAAAAGTTTACATGAATCTGTGAAATATTTTAGGAAAGCATCTGACTCAAACGATATCAATGCGAAAATTAACCTCGGATTGCTTTTATTCAACGGTGAAGGAGTAGAAAAGAATGAAGCTGAAGCTGTAAAGTTATTCCAGGTAGCAGCTGAACATGGATTCGTACGAGCACAAATTTTATTAGCTAAAGCTTACGAACGTGGATTAGGAGTTGAAAAGAATTACGAAAAAGCTATTGAATGGTTCTCAAAAGTTGCCGAACGTGAGGGAACGGATTCTTCCATAGATTATGTCGGGGAATCGCAATATTGCCTTGCATGTTTATATGAAAAGGGCTTTGGAGATAAAGAGAAGGACCCAGAGAAGGCTTTGTATTGGTTTACGAAATCTTCAGAAAATAATTATTTAACGGCTCAAGTTACGCTTGGTGATATGTATCGAGATGGTCATGGTGTGGAAGTTGATGAAGGAAAAGCTTTAAAATGGTACATTACAGCCGCAAAATATAATAATTTTCAAGCACAATTCGTCTTGGGAGAATTATATGAAGTGAGTTCATTAGGCGTGAAAAAAGATGAAACGAAAGCTCTTCAATGGTATAAGAAATCCGCCGAACAAGGTTACATTATGGCCTTGATGAGGCTTGGACTTGGCACTGGTAGTGATCCTGACGTCTCTAGAAAATTACAAATGATTACTAAATTACCTTCTGTTAAAACATTAGAACAATCCGGTCAAGCTCCTCAACCTACGATGATCGATGACGATGAGATTTTGGAAAAAATAGGCAATTTGAAAGATGGTGAAAAATTAGAAGTAGATGATGTAAATGGTAGTTGTGAGAATCAATAAATTTGTATTTAAGGGCAAATAAAACTTCTCGTTTTTACATAATTAATCAATGGGATAACGAATTAAATTTCTTTATCTACTGCTATTTTTCTGAAATTTGATCGAGTTTTTTAAACCTGGTACAATTTGTCTTCTCCATTGATCGTAACACCTCTTTCCACTTCTCCCCCCATCAACTTCATTACAGACTTCGTCCCAAGGTATATTAATCTTTTTAAGGACAGCTTCAATTAATTGTAAACGTTGTTCCGACGTCCAATTTTTTGATGCTTGTGCTATCAGTCATTTAACAAATTTTAAATTAAACAAATATCAAAATTATTAAAATGTATCAATGATGTAATTCTACCTTGATTACCGACACCTTTAACTTCAATATCGCTTGTTAAGCTTACGGACGCATTAGATTCGAGCGAAGCCATCATTTCATCTCCACCTAAAGAATCATTAGTTTTTGTTTCTTGCGTTTTAGTTGCCTTGCTACGAATTTTTTTCGGTTGAGTTTTATTTGATGTATCATTATCTTTGGTTTTCTTTCTGCCACGTGTTGTTGGTGACATTCTTGTTAGCGTTAGATTTTTTTTTCCAAAAGGAAAAAAAGAAAGAGAAAGGAAATCGGCGTCAGGAATTAACGAGTGAAAGATTTGATTCAATTTTTATGGCGTCAAGGCAGTTATTTCACGTGATTTTTTTTTTTATTACTATAACATTTTTTGATACTTTTGTTAATATTTAAACTATTAAATTTCTCTAATTTTCCTATATAATATTTATCTTTAATAAATAACTTTCATAAATTTAATCACTAATTAATATTTTAATATTTTTTAACAATACTAATTTAATGTATTGTAATTAACAAAAATTTTTAATTAATAAAATTTTAATTATAAAAAAAATTGTTTAAGTACTAAATATATATATAAAATACAATTGCTTATTTAAATTTATAAAAAGGTTTAAATTCAATAAAGTTTTACTAACTTTATAGATGCCTGCCAAAACTTTTAAAATAGTTTTATTATATTCTTTATTATAGCTTAACAGTTTAAGCTTTTATTATATCAAAAGGATTTACTATATCTTTATTATAATTTAAAATAGTTTCATTTTAGTTTTGATTATTATTATAAATTTTAATATATTTTAATTTTTATTAAACATTATAGATTTTTAATAAGAATTAGTATATTTTTAAGTTTTTTTTTATTATTTAAATAACTTATTAATCTTTAGATTCATTAATAATATTATATATAAATATATATAAACTATTAAAAATAAAAGTATTATTTAAAATTTTTTTTATAATTAAGATTATTAATTATATCTATTTTAAATAATTAAATATAAAATATTTTGATTATATTAAATTTTTATAAATAAATTCTAAATTATATAAAATTATCTTTAAATATAGATTTTATATAAATAATTTGTAAATTAATTAATAAAAATAAAATTACTATTTATAAAATAAAATAAAATTATTATATAAAATTTGTTTTTTTTTTAAAAAAAATATTAATTTTTATTATTAGTTAATATATTTTTTAATAATATTTTTATAAATATTTTAATAAAAACTAAAAAAAAATTATGTTACTTTTAAAATATTAGAATTTATTTTAAAAAAAATAGTTTTAATTTTTATTTGTTAACAGTGCTAACTTGGTCTATAGTCTTATTTAGTTTTTGGTTTAGAGCAGAAATACTCTTGCTGAACTTTTCATTCCTATAAGATAGTAATGTAGGCTAAGTTAAACTATAATTATTATTAAATAATTAATTTTTAAATAATATCTATTTAATAAAAAATTTATTTATCAAATTAAATAATTATAAAAATAAATTTTATATAATATTTTTTTTATATATTTTTATTATTATTTTAAACTTTTTTTTTAAAAAATTCATTTTATAAAATACTTTATAATTTAAAAAATATTTTATTATTAAATATTAAAAATATATAAAAGATTTACTATTAAATCATATAATAGTTTATATGATTTACTATATTTATAATTAGATTTTAATAATAAATGTTTATATTTTATTTTATTAAAAAAATATTTAAAATTTATTTAATTTTATTCAAATTTATATTAAATAAATATATAATTTTAATAAAATTTACAAAAATTATATTTTTAATTATTAATAAAACTAAACTTAATTTATTAAATTTTAATAAAATATTATTAGATTTTTCTAATTTAATTTATTATATTTATTTATTAAAATTAATTTTTATTATTTTAAATTAGTTTAATTAATTTTATATTTTAAACTTAAATAAGTTTTATTAAATTTTATTAATTTTATTATATAACTTGATTTTTTCAAAATTAGTTTAACTAAATTTTAAATATTTTAAATAGTATTATTATTTATTAATTTAATTTAAATTATAATAAATTTTTTTTTTAATTAAATTTAATTAATTCTTAAATTTCTAATTTGATTTATTTAATTAATTATAAAGATTTAAATTTTTAATTTAAAAATTAAAATTAAGCAAAGATAATCAGTGATAGTTTTGAATAAAATTTAATTAGTCTAATTTAAATTATTAGAAATAATCTTATTAGACTATTTCAGTTTAAGTCTACATAAATAATTTATTAGATTTTATTTATTTAATTGTCTAATAAATTTTTATATACACATTTTCTTTAAAAAATATTTGACCATCCTATCAATCATTATAGATTCTAACATATTAAAATTTAGGTTACATTACAACTAATGTATATAAAAATCTTTTTTTCATGTAGAAATTTGAAAATAAAAATTTATTTTTTAAAACATGTCTAAATAAAATTAACATTTTGACTTTAAACAAGAAAAGATTATTAGACTTTAGAAAGGAGATCATAGTAAAAAAGATATTAAAGCCATTCTTTATCATTCTAAGTCAATTATTCATAATATAATAATCAATTATAAAAATAAAAACTAAACTAATGTTATTTCACAATTAGGTAATCATCAAAATTAATAGAAAAAATATTAAACATCTTATAAAAATTGTTAAAAAAAATATCAATAGTCTTTAGATAAAATAACAGAAAAATTTAAAGATTTATCAATAAATATAGTATATTATAATACTATAAGAAGTATTTTATAATCTGAGATTTTTTAGTTAAGCAAATAAGAGAAAACTATTAATTTCTAAAATAAATCATAAAAATATTAGAATAGTATCATAAAAGAAGAAATTAGATTTCTGAGTGAGATTTAATTATATAAAGCGATAAATTCTATTTTTTATTATTCTAAAATGATGTTCATCATTAAGTTTGGTATAGATCGCATGAAAAATATAATATAAATTGTTTAATTTTAAAGTAAAATCATAAAATTAAGATGTTATAGTATGAGAATTTTTTGTAAAAGATAAACTTAGTCTTTTAATTCAAATTACTAATTCTGTGTATATAAGGTTGCCGAGCAAAATCCTGAGGTTTCGACAGGCATCGAAATTGAAACCCATCGAAACATTTTGCCAAATTTTTTTATTAAAGGCAAAATTGC